CGGCAGCCCAGGGACACGGGGAGCAAAGCCACAGCGGCGGCGGGGTGCCACACCTCTGAGGCTTTGCTCTGGCAAAGCCTCAGAGGAGCGGGACCCCACCGCCACTGCGGCTTTGCTCCCGGTGTCCCTGGTCTGCTGGAGATGGTCCCCAGCAGACCAGGGGCACCCGGAGCAGCTTTTCTCACCCCGGAGGTCGAGGTGGCAGGACCGCTGCGCTCTGGCCGGTCCCGCTGCCTGCGAGCTCCGGGGCGAGAAAGCCCCATTCGTAAGTGCGGATCTGACATAAGTCGGATCCGCGTAACTCGGGGACTGCCTGTACACATGGAGGTTATCCTGTTCCCTCATCAATAGCTACACCCTCTCCAGCCCCAAGACAGCCACTGCTCACACCCTGGGACTCAGATACTAGTCAGACAGAACAGCCTTCGCACATCCCTCCCAGAGCTGCTTTGGGGTTCCTACATCCTTGGTACAAGGACACCGCATAGTCCCAAGCTAGGGATCCACCCACAGGTTTAGCTACATGAATCACCCTTTCCTTCACCGGCCTTGAAGAGAACAGGATTGTTTGCATTGACACAACCATTGTAGCTCAGCGTTATGACAATGGCTATAATCTGATCTCATGCTTCAGAGCTTCAGCAGAAATCAGGAAGGAATAGTTTCCTCCAAATGCACAATCTGTGTTAGGCTGGGTTCCCCACTGCACTTTCCTCTGAAACAGCAGAGACTGGCCACTGCTGGAAATGGAACACTGGGCATAGTGGGCCAGGACTCTGAGATGGTCCAGAGAACCCTCTTCCTAAATGCCTGGCTTGGGCACCATGCTCAAATTGCCAGACGAGTCAGGAAGGAATTTTCCCCTCCCACTCAGACTGACATGGACCTTTGGAGCATCTTGCTTTCCCTTACAGACCTGCGCATGTAAATCACTTGCTCAAATCATCTGGGCATATCTTGCCAAGTCAATTCCCTGCCACTTTGGGTCCTCGGAGGGGCACTGGTAACTGTTTGGTCTCTCCTGTTCTCTGCCCGGGGCTCTCAACTTTTGAGTTACCACAGGACTCAAGTAATTGGATTCAATGCAGGGGTGTCTGGGTGACTTCTCTGGCCTGTGTTATACAGGAGGGCAGAGGAGATGATATAATGGTCCTCTCATTATATACTCCACAAATTCATACAAATGCACCCCACCCCTGCAGCAATGGCTTACCTTGTTGACCTGTGTCACCACAGCATCCACCACCTCTCCCTTGAAGGGCCGGAAGACAATGGCCTTGTACTTGACAGGGTAGAGCACGAAGCCACGACCCGGCTGGATGACACCTGCCCCAATGTTGTCTATGGTAGTGACTGCAATGACAAAGCCATATCTGGGGGAGAGTGGGAACCAGCTCTGTTAGAGAATTCACAGGCAGAGAACAGGACAAAGAATGAGCTGCAATAGAGGGGACTTCCCCCATTCACCACCAGGGGCTAGGTTCTTCCGGTCCCTCCAAAACAGCAACCCTATCCCCTTCCTTCCATGAATCTGCACCTGTCCTGGATCTCCAACCCACCACCCCACTGCTTCCCAAACCCTCCAAATACATTCCCATCTCCCCCAGCCTTGTTACCTCCATCTCAACCCCGCACAGACCTGTCCCTCCAGACTCTCCTGCCCCTACTCACTTGCCAGTGCAGGTCCCCTCCACCTCTGTGAACAGCTTCTGCTTGACAGTGTTAAGAAGATTGGGCCCAAAGTAGCGTGGATGCAGCAGGATCTCATGCTCCAGGGAGATCTATGAAAAAGGGGAAAAAGGAGAGACCTGTCACTAAGAGGGGAAAGGAGGCAATCCTCAGCCAACCCCTCCCTCCCTTCCTTCCCCACCTCATGGCAGTAAATGATGGGGCAGAACCTCAGTGCCCCTGGGGCAGAGGGAACAGTGGCAGCTGACATCCCTCAATTTGGGGGAAGGTTCCCCCTGGAGCACAGGGAATGGTGCATGCTGGGGCCCTGGAGAGAATCCCCGTGGGGGCAGAGCCAGTAATGCATTCTGGGACTGCAAAGGGGGACAGGAAGGAGGAGGCAGCTGATGCACTTGGGGGTGGGTTGTTTGGAGGGGGGAGTCGAGGAGCAACTGATTCTGTGCTGAACATCCCTCAATTTGGGGGAAGGTTCCCCCTGGAGCACAGGGAATGGTGCATGCTGGGGCCCTGGAGAGAATCCCCGTGGGGGCAGAGCCAGTAATGCATTCTGGGACTGCAAAGGGGGACAGGAAGGAGGAGGCAGCTGATGCACTTGGGGGTGGGTTGTTTGGAGGGGGGAGTCGAGGAGCAACTGATTCTGTGCTGAAAGGGCTACAAGCACAGCTGAGCCTCAGGGGAAGGATTGCCCAGGCTCTGGCGGGGGGGGGGGGGGGCGGGGCCCGGCCCCCTGTCATGGGGAGAGGCGGGCCGCCGGGGGAGTGGGGGAGAAAGGCTGTCCAGGCACTGGCGGGGCATGGCTGGGGCCTGGTGGGGGGGCAGCTACTCCCCAATAGATCTCCTGGGCGGAGACCGTCACTCACGTGGTAAAACATCTTCCAAGAGGCCGGGACCGGAAGCAACCCGCAGTTATCCCCACCCACCCAGGCTCCTTCCTCACTGGCCTGCGACACACAGGGGTACTGAGCATGCGCACCCGAACTGAGCATGCTCAGTAACAGCTGCTGTTGCTGCGGCCCTCACAGGGATTCAGACTCTGCTTCCTGTCGGAATGTGCAGCTTCGCGTGTACTGAGCATGCTCAGTTAGCTCCGCTGGCGCCACTGCCCTTCTCCCTGCCCTCACTTTATGCGTTCTGCCGGCTGCTTTTGGCAGGGAGTTACAAAGGGGGCAAATTGCCGCGCGGGGATGGGCAGGGTCTGAGCAGGGTACAGAAATACATTGACCAGGGTGAGGCAGAAGAGTGGCTGGAGGAGAAAAAGGAAGGGGCGTAGGAACAGGGGTTTAGCTTAGGGAACAGATACTGCCAGTCCCGGAGGGGCGGGGGGGGGGAAAGGGGATTAATACTTATCCGGGTGGGATGAGCCACATACTCAGTGTGCAAAGACAGGGATGGGAGTATAGAAATGGGGGGTTATTTTCCCTTTCAGGATACTATGTACCTGTGCTGGAGAACAAGGCAGATTCCTCGCTGTGTTCTGAAAGTTACAACTGTCCTAATTCATTGGCTCTCACTGGTAGACCTTCAAAGCGACTCTCTAACTACACTGCTGCATGTTCAGGAGTCTGGATGCTGTAAAATATCAGACATGCAGAGTCTGAGGGAGTGTGTAACACATTTTGAGTATTTAAATGTCTCTTATCAATGTATAGGACTATGTAGCACTTTAAAGACTAACAAGATGGTTTATTAGATGAAGTGGGTCTGGCCCACGAAAGCTCATCATCTAATAAGCCATCTTGTTAGTCTTTAAAGTGCTACATAGTCCTGTATTTTGTTTCAGCTACACCAGACTAACACGGCTACATTTCTATCTCTTATCAATGTATACGTCAACATGAAGTCTCATTACAGTTCATAAATTTGTGTCTTATTTGCTGCTGCAAGTGTTTGAATTGCGCTCCCGTCCTTGCAACCCATTTGTTCCTTTGCAAATGTTATTTCCTTTACTCTGAACACTTCATCATTTACCTATACTATCATTGTGCAATGCATGTCAAAAACCCTGTTTGTTTTTATTTTAATAGCTAATGCTGAAAACTTTGAAGTAAATAGTAGTTACTGGTTTTAGCAATTTTATCTGTGTTTCTATTATAAGGTGCCACAGGACTCCTCGTCGCTATTATAGCACTTGCTATATGTTTTGTACTTTGATTTGTAACTTAGAGGTTTTTATTAAACTTGTGCTATAAAAAGAAAAAAGTAGATTTCTGCTGGGTCTGTTACCTACCAGCTCTTTGTTCTTAGAGAATGAGGGCATAGTCTGTCTGACCCATTAAAGACCTTTTCCCCCGCTCCCACCCCCAGTCTCTGCTTGCACCAAAGCTGATCAAAAGACTTGGAAAATGCAATGAAAAGGCAAGAGAAGATAGATCTAAACCCCTCTGAAAGCTCCCCTAGACTCATGTGCATCACTTCCTTAATATATACAATGGAAACCAGAAAGTCCAAGGCAAGAACTGCATTGAACTCCGGGACCCAAAAAGAATAGAAGCATTGCCTGATGGACATTCCTGTTTCAATTGCTAATGAACTCATGCCTACATGCACCCAGATAAGTAATTGTCAGACCAATTATAGTAACAAGCATTTTATTGGTATCCAAAATATAGGTTGAACCTCCATCACCCTTGGACTGGTGGCTGTAAACAAACTATGGGACCATGGGCAACTGGCCACATCCACAAGTAGACATCTGGCAAATAAAATCATACTGGACCTGGATGTTGCTGGACCAGAGAGTGCCAGAGTAGAGAGGTTCAGTTTGTACTGAAGCTGCTTAATTGTATTATGATGTCCATCTAAGGCACAGAAAAACCTACAGCCTGCGTTAATTTAAAAAACAAAACAACAACAAAAAACAAATCTCTACCCAGGCTCAAGAAAGGGTTCTGATGCTTGGATCCAAATTCTGCATCAGTTCCATTTAAGCAGCATATTGATAGAGTTATCAACCCCCTCTTCCCAGAAGAGTAACCCTAATAAATGAGCATACCCAAATTAACAGGCAGAGCTGGTAACTTGTCATGTGACTAATTTCCTGTCTTGTTTTCAACAATTCATTTCGATTATTTTGCTAATCAAATAGTCAATTTGTATCGACTATTCAATTAGCCAAATAATCAAAATTTTACATCCCTAGAATCTATGCAGAAGAGTGAATGCTTGCTTTTGAAAACATCTTGGAACAAAAAGCAAATTGTTTTGGTTTATACACCAATTTATAATAATATAGCTTTTCAAATTACAAAAAGGCTACGTCTACACTGGCCCCTTCTTCGGAAGAGGCATGCTAATTTCTAACTTTGGAATAGGGAAATCCGCGGGGGATTTAAATATCCCCCGCGGGATTTAAATAAACATGTCCGCCGCTTTTTTTCCAGCTTGGGGAAAAGCCGGAAAAGAGCGTCCAGACTGGCATTTATAATAATATAGCTTTTCAAATTACAAAAAGGCTACGTCTACACTGGCCCCTTCTTCGGAAGAGGCATGCTAATTTCTAACTTTGGAATAGGGAAATCCGCGGGGGATTTAAATATCCCCCGCGGGATTTAAATAAACATGTCCGCCGCTTTTTTTCCAGCTTGGGGAAAAGCCGGAAAAGAGCGTCCAGACTGGCGCGAGCCTGGGGGATTTAAATATTCCGCGCGGGATTTAAATAAACATGGCCACCGCTTTTTTTCCGGCTTGGGGAAAAGCCGGAAAAGAGCATCCAGACTGGCGCGATCCTCCGGAATAAAGCCCTTTTCCGGAGGATCTCTTATTCCTACTTCAGGTTACTTCAGGTAGGAATAAGAGATCCTCCGGAAAAGGGCTTTATTCCGGAGGCTCGCGCCAGTCTGGACGCTCTTTTCCGGCTTTTCCCCAAGCCGGAAAAAAAGCGGCGGACATGTTTATTTAAATCCCGCGGGGGATATTTAAATCCCCCGCGGATTTCCCTATTCCAAAGTTAGAAATTAGCATGCCTCTTCCGAAGAAGGGGCCAGTGTAGACGTAGCCAAAATGTGTGTATGTGTATTAAGTCAAGGCAAACCTCATCCCTTCAAATTTGCTACCTCTGGACCAGGGGATGTGAACAGCACCTCTGGACTGGTGACAGCTATGCTTGTTGCTTATTCCTCTGAATTTGCTACCCCTGGATGAGAGGATGTGAAGTGGCAAATGATGCTGGCTAAGCAAATAGTGACATACTATTACCGCTACCAGAAGCAAAATTGGAGGGATGCTGTTCATGTTTCTACACCTGTCCTTCAGAGAAACTAACCTGTAGTTCTGTGCACACGCGTTCCTCAGTGCTCATTGTATAGCTGCACTGGCCAGAGGACTTCACGGGGCGCTCTGGCTCTGGCAGGTGAGAGAGGAGCACAAAAACAGTGAAGGGTGGGGCAAAGAGTGATTGACAGGAGGCGAGTTATACGAAATCCTGTTTTATTAGGTAGTCAGGTACAAAAATAAACTCTGGAAAGCAAGGAACACATGTGCCTGAGTCAGCAGCTCCCGCCCCAGCCTTGTGCAGCCTATTCCCCTGCCCCAATCTGGGAGGGGGCCCTGTAGTTCCTCCCCCAATTCCCTGTCAGAGATTCCCCCCTGTGAGTAGAAGACCTCAGTTCCTCCATCGTTTTCCAATTCACCATCAAAGGGGCCATGAGACCCCCTGTATCAAATCCCTGATCAACACTCCTGGGAGCCAAGCTCAAAGGGTGCTTACGCCAGTATGTCCCAGCTTTCCACTACCCTTCCCTCTGCCAGCACACCCCACTCTCTACCAAATCCCCAACCACCACTTCCCAGTACACAGAAGCACAGGGGTGGGGAAGATCCAGCCCATGGCTCCCTTGCTAGGATCCTAAGTACAGAACCACTCATGATGCTTTAAGCAGCTGGCTGTTCTCTGTTCTGGATGCTGAACAGGGATGGGGAAGCTTTGCGCTCTGCTCCTGCTCCCCTGCAAAACCTCTCAGTTCCCATTGGCTAGTTTCTGGCCAGCAGGATCTGAGAAATTTTGGGAGCAGTGGCAACATGTGAAGCCTTCCTCTTCCCCTCAGCACCGGAACAGAGCCACATGACGTAACCAGGGATTGCAGCAGACGGCAGTGAGGCTGCCTCAGTTTCTTGCAGGGCTGCTGACTAGGAGCCACCTAGGTAAGTGCCTCCCAGCCAGAGCCTGCCTCTGGCACCCCAGCCCCTCCCCCTGCACACAATCTGCCCCAGATCACCATCCAAACCCTCTGCACACCCTTTCCCCAGGTCACAGCTCCCTCCCAGACTCTGCATCCCCTCCCATACCCCTTCTCCAGGCCAGAATCCTCTTTTGCACCCATACCTGCTCCCAGATCCTGCACTGCAAGACCCTGCCCCAGGTCACAACCCTGTCTTTCACCCAACTCCCACATCCTCTCTTGCACCCCAGTCCCCTATTCCAAGCTCCCTTCTGCACCCAGTACCCCCTCCATAGAAGTGCGGCCCTTGACCACTTACCAAATTCTTGGAGTGGCCCTCCCATTAAAAATTATTGCCCACCCCTGCAATAGCATCTTGGTCTGACAGCACCCTGTGCTCAGATCCAAACATGTACGTATGGATTCTGCCCCACACCCTAAGCCCCCTAAGGGCCAGTTGCAGCTGTGCCCCATGGCTAGAAGTGGCTTGCTGTATTGCAGGGGCCTGGGTCTTTGTGCTGTGGCCCTTCCAGTTGTGATGCCATTTAGCTGTTGAGCTGATGTGGATATTTCTAGATTTGGGGAATACAGTTTAGTGTGTGGAGAGATACAGGCAGCACTGATAGCTCGGAGCCACAACTGTGGCTGTAGCTGCTAGAAGAACAAAGAAGCACAACCACCTAAAGGCACTTAAATGCACAACGTTTGGTCTTAATCTATCCCTTGATGACAGTATCTTGATCTCCAAGTGCCAAGGACTGTAGACTTCCAAAGATCTCAGCTGACAGGGCTCAGAGAGGGCCTCTTCTGGGGCAGCACTCAGAGAAAGGGTCTCCCCCTTTTTCCAGTGCTGCTGATTCATTTATTGTCTTTCTTATCATAGAGGATATTGCACTTGCTTAGGGTATGTCTACACTACCCTCCTAGTTCGAACTAGGAGGGTAGTGTAGACATACCCTAAGCAAGTGCAATATCCTCTATGATAAGAAAGACAATAAATGAATCAGCAGCACTGGAAAAAGGGGGAGACCCTTTCTCTGAGTGCTGCCCCAGAAGAGGCCCTCTCTGAGCCCTGTCAGCTGAGATCTTTGGAAGTCTACAGTCCTTGGCACTTGGAGATCAAGATACTGTCATCAAGGGATAGATTAAGACCAAACGTTGTGCATTTAAGTGCCTTTAGGTGGTTGTGCTTTTTTGTTCTTCTAGCAGCTACAGCCACAGTTGTGGCTCCGAGCTATCAGTGCTGCCTGTATCTCTCCACACACTAAACTGTATTCCCCAAATCTAGAAATATCCACATCAGCTCAACAGCTAAATGGCATCACAACTGGAAGGGCCACAGCACAAAGACCCAGGCCCCTGCAATACAGCAAGCCACTTCTAGCCATGGGGCACAGCTGCAACTGGCCCCCCATTCAGTTCTGGGGCAGTGCCACTTTGCACTGGCTGGCAGCTTATGTACTAGTTTTGTTCCTATTTCTTCCAACCACTTCCCTAAGACCTATTTCCTTCTGCCACCCGGAGTGCAGGAAGCCAGATTCCAATCCAGCACCTGTGAGTGAGACCCACCTAAAAAAATACCCGTCATGAAACAGGAGACTTTCAGTTCCCAAATAAAATGTAAGGTTAGCGCCTCTCCCTACTAAGGTGCCCATCTCTTCTGGGAGACGGTTTTAGACCCTGAGCCACAGAGCACCCACAGAGTCAGCACATATGCTTGAGCGTCAGCTCATGTCCATGTGCCAGGGCCCCACAACTCAGTTTCAAAATGCTGCCAGGAGGCAAGTACCAAGGCACTAGTGCTGACAGCTACATGCTAGAGCATCTCTCAGCTGCTGCCTTCATTGGTCCTTCTTTGGCTAGTGGGATCCCTCCCAGTGCAGGGGGAGCAGAAGCGGTCTAGTGCAAGCTGCCACAGCGCTGGGTTTCCAAGGGAGGCTGCAAATGTACATCCAGCTGAGGAGGGGTCTTGAACCTGGCCCAGCTGTCGGGTGAGAAGCTACCCTCAGTTCTTGGCCGCACAGCTGGGCTTGCGGCTGAGTGCCTGTGAGTAGGCAGAGCTCCAGTCCCGGTGGAACACAGCTTCCAGCTCCTCCCGCAGGGTGAGCTGGGAGGCTCCTGGGGCAGCCTCACTCTGGTTAATGATCAGCCCCACCCCTGCAGTGTTGGTGAAGTAATCCTCTGACCAGTTCGAGGTGCCTGCCAGGAGAGGAGCAAAGGTCAGCTTGTGGGTAATCAACACTGACTTATTCAAGGGCCCCATCCTGGCTTCTGCTTTTCCTCTACTGTTACCCACTAAACTCCACTCCCCTCCCAGTTCTGAGGATAGGACCCAGGAGTCCTGGCTCCTAACATTCACTGGCCTTAAGATCTTGTAATTGTTCCCAGTGATGGCTTCCCTGGCCCCCTTAGTCCATGATTCCAGCCGCTGGGCTGATCCCTTACCCCCAGGTTAGGGAGGCACATACCAATGTAGGCCAGGCGGTCAGTCACCATGTACTTGTTGTGGTTGACACGGGAGAAAGGAATGAGTTTCTGCTTGGCTGATGCAGGGACAACAAAGAGTTTCTGAAAGAGACAAACACAAAGTCATCTCTGAGCCCTCAGGTCCAGCAGATCCCCTGGTATAGCCTACTACACAAGGTTTAGGTTAAGAAATAAGTACAAGTTAAGCTAAATTAAACCCAAAACCTCAATGTAGAGGACTATGAGAAACTGATGTTGCTAGTGTAAGGAAGTTAGAGATAAGGTGGAGGTACCGTGTTATGAGAAAGTTACACAACCTTGGGCTATGTTATTGTTATGTTGTGCTTACAACTAGTTTGACCAAGACTTATAATAAATGTTTTCTAGAATTGTAAATGTTTTATTAAAATGCTTTCTATATTTATGGAAAGGACATTAGTGCAGATGCTAATTTAAATAACATGTAAAGCAAAAGGCCAATAAAGAGATGGGGGGAATATAATTAAGGTAATGGACAGGTTAATGTTAATTAATATTGCAATAGATTATAAAAAGAGTAGTTTTGCTAAATTGCAAGACAGCTTCAATGAATGTTGAAAGGTACCATTAGTTCCAGGTTTATGAGGCTGTACTTCGCTCTGATGTCAGAGGACTGATCACTCACCGATACACTATTTCAGCTTTGGGCACCGATACACTATACTTCAAATGCCACAGCAGCACAGCTGCATCAATAGAGTTGCACCATTGTAGAGTTTCAGCAAAGATGCTATTATGCTGATGGAACCATAGGTGCTGGAACTGGAGGTGAGGGGGATGCTGTAGCTCGAAGTGGTTCCCATTATATACAGGATTTATAGTTTGATTCCATGGACCACAACACCCCAACTATAAAAATTGTTCCAGCATCTCTGGATGGAATAGCTTCTTCCGTCGATATCATTAATCCACCTCCGTAAGAGGCTATGTTGATGGGAGAAACCCTCTTGTTGACATCACACTGTACATCAAGGGTTAGGTCAGTATAACCGCATCACTGGGGGTGTACATTTTTCACACCCGAGGAATGTAACGATAGCAATGTAAGGTTATAGTATAGACCTGGCCTAAGATTGTAGTATTGTGTAAGTAATAATAGTGTGTCTGGGCTTAACTAATGATTTTTCTTTTTTAAACAACAAATAGTCTAGTAGCACCTAAAAGACTAAATAGTTACAAATTAAATAGCTCTTGTAACTATTAGTCTTTAAAGTGCTACTAGACTATTTGCTTTTGCCTGTTACAGACTAACTCGGCTACCTCTCTGAAGCTTATTTACTCACTGTCTCTCTTTTTTTCTCTCCCCTCCACTTTTTTTCCTTCTTCCTCTTCCTCCCTCCTTCCCTTATTTATTCTTGGATCTGGACTTCCAACACTCCTGTCATCTGAAGAAGTGGGTTGTGCCCACAAAAGCTCATGATATCATCTATATGTTTTGTTAGTCTTTAAGGTGCTACTAGACTATTCATTGTTTTGTAAGTTTTTCCTGTTACACACTAATTCAGCTACCCCTCTGAAGCCTTTTTTTCTTTTTAAGAAAGTCTGGTTATGGCATTCAAAGTGTTACCTGGAGGTCTTCTGCTAAATACATTTTCTGTAACTGAAACTGAAAACTAAGCGGGGTTTTATTGTACCTTAGCTTTAACAACTTAATATTACCTGGGAACTTTTCAATACAAAGATTACAAAAAGATTGCCGGCAGATCTAGAGAAGTGATTATCTCCCTTTATTCGGCTCTGGTGAGGCTATCTGGAGTATTGCGACCAGTTCTGGGCCTCCCACTATAGAAAGAATGTGGACACATTGGAGAGGGTCCAGCGGAAGGCAACCAAAATGATTACGGGGTTGGAACACATGACCTACAAGGAGAGGTTGAGGGATTTGGGCTTATTTAGTCTGCAGAAGAGAAGAGCGAAGGGGGATTTGATAGCAGCCTTCAACTTCCTAAAGGGAGGTTCCAAAAAGGATGGAAATAGGCTATTCTCCGTAGTGACGGATGGAAGACCAAGGAGCAATGGTCCCAAGTTACAGTGAGGGAGGCCTAGGTTGGATATCAGGAAAAACTATTTCACTAAGAAGGTGGTGAATCACTGGAATGAGTTACTTAGGGAGGAGGTGGGATCTCAATCACTAAAGGTTTTTACGTCTTGGCTTGACAAAGCCGTGGCTGGGTTGATTTAGTTGAGATTGGTCCTGCTTTGGGCAGGGGGCTGGACTTGATGACCTCCTGAGGTCTCTTCCAGCCTTAGGATTCTATGCTTCTATGAAAAGATTATACAGATGGTCTGTGACCCCTGGCCAATGCAGGGCACTGATACAGAGGGAGCTCCCAACACAAAAGGCCTCTCCCCAAGTCCCCTTACTTCCTACCAGCTGGCCCCTGGACTGAGTCATGGAGAGGAAAAGTCACTTCAGGTCCCAGCCATTCCCAGCCCCGGGAACTTCAGCCTCCTAATTCTGCCCCACTCCAGGACTCACCACTTCGATGGGGCAGCCTAGAGGCTCCTGGCTGAGGACACTGAGCGATTCCAGGAACAGGAACATGGACTGGTCCGAGTGCTGCCAGCAACTGATGAGCAATCTCACCTTCACACGCCTGTTGCAGGCAGCAGCGCGCAGTGCGTCATCAATGACTGGCCAAAACCTGGAGGGCAGCCCAAGGACAGTGGGTCAGGGGTTGGGACCCAACAGTTCCCTAGCCATCGCCCCCTAAATGCCCAGATCCTGGGCCCCAGCCCTCAAGCCACAGTCCCCCTGGCTCAGAGACCCCCATTTATCTTACTTTCTCCCCAGCCCAGCCCTAGATCATAGCCCATTGCTGTGTCCCATCCCCTGCCTTTGTCCAGCTCACCAGGAACAGCCCCCAACTTGCCCATCCCTAGCCATTAATCTGACATTGTGCCAGCCTGTGTCTGATCCTCTCTCTCTTCCCCACCCTCACTGTCTGCAGCTCCCAGGTTGTCCATACCACCAGCATCATGCAGGAGGGTAGCACGGGATTCCTGGCTAGGTCTAGAAGGGGCAGTGTGAGGGGAGCTGGCTGCCTGAACTCCACCTCCTGCCTGCACATCCTCTGGTTCCCACCTCTTGGGCTGGCAGAAGGTGCACTGGGGCACATAGTCCATCACTGAGATGTAGATAAAGGCCTGGGCATCCTGGATGGTGCTGACAATGGCCGTGAGGTCTGGGGTGCGGCCTGTGGAGCAGAGGGCGGGAGGAGAGCTCTGCAACCCAAACAAATACAGGTATAGAGACAGGCAGGTCATGTCAAAGCACAGAATCTAGGAGCCAAACCACATCAGGGTCAGGCTGTGTCACAGCACTGACTCTGGGGAGGGGGTAACAGGACCTCTCAGGGCAGAGAGAGGCCCCTGGAAAGGCAGCCATCTCCAGGGCTTGGATCCAGCCCCTGTGCCAAGATGCTGCCCCCTCCAGCAGTGCTAGCAGGCAATGGCTCCGCTGTGGGCACCAGAATGACAGAGGAGGTGTCAGGACCAGGAAACAGCCACGATGAGCCACTCAGCCCGACAGAGCCCATATGGACACTTACAGAGAGGTACAGTTCTGCACTGCTGCCACTGAGCTGCAGCTTCAGGGGGTGGGTTAGGCTGGACTGCGCGGAGACATAAGCCGGCCACGTCTTGGGGAGCGAGGCCCCCTGCCCTCCCAATGCCTGATACATGGTGAAGATCCGATGCAGGTCACTGGCCACACAGCTGCAGTTGTAGAGCACAGCACCCAGCTCCTTCACCTGCAAGACAAGGTGTTTGGGAACAGGGCGCAGCAAACGAGACATGGCCCCAACTCCAGCAGGAGACCCCGGCTGAACTGGAAACCTCAGGGACCCAGGAGAGTGAGTGAGGAGCCTGTGGAGAGCCAGCCTCACCATCCAATGCCCAGCTCCAGGCCTCACCCTGTCCTACAAGGACCCAGGAGAGTGAGCCCAGCCCCTGGGGGCACACCTCCCCTCTTCCCACCCTCCCCCTAGTGCCAGCCCCTGGGGGCACACCTCCCCTCTTCCCACCCTCCCCCTAGCGCCAGTCCCTGGGGGCACACCATGCCTCCTCCCATAACCTTCCCTCTGTTCACCCCCTCCCCACTGTGGTACCTGCGTCAGTGAACGCCAGTCCATGTTGGCACTGCCAATGTAGATGTGCTTGCTATCCACCACCCAGAACTTGGTGTGCACAATCCCTCCAGTCAGGCTCTCCAACGCCACATACTTTATGTCTGCACCTGTGGGGAGCATCAGCAGAACAATGGCCATCACACAGAGATATCCCTTCCCACTCTCTCAGCCTTGCTATCCCAGCCCAGCTGGGTGGGGTCTTGTCTGCTCCTTTCCCAGGACTGACATTTCCCCATATACTACTAACCCTAGGCAAGCTTGCGGGGACTGTCCCAACCCATATGTTACCTTTGCTGGCCAATTCCTTGGTGTCCTGGTCTGACTTCTGAGGGCCATTCACAGCAATGCTCAGCTTGATGCCCCGAGACGGCAGGTCCCGCAGCTTCTCCAACACTTGCCTGCCCTGCAGGGAGCAGCATAAGTGTTACAGCTTAGCAATCACTTCCACCTCCCCCAGAACAGGAGCAGACCAGGGCTCCCTCTGCCTGCACTAAGCCAACCTGCCAGGATGAGGTTTCTTTCTCCTGCGTGTCTGAATCACGGAGTGTGAAGTAGAAAGCAGCGATGTCCACAGAATGGTTGGCTGCATCCAACAGATCCATCCAGGCCTGGAAAATGGGGAGGTGGCGGGGACTGGAGGGGCTGTAATCCAGGCCCACAGGGATGCTTTCCACTAGCACCAAACTGCAGCGGTCACAGAGGGAGAGCAGAGATGGGGGTTAAGAGACAGATACTTGAACAGTGGTACTGGGGGCATCAGTACTTACCAGAACAGAGACTAGAACGAAAGTCAGTTCCCCTTCACTCCAAGCATCTGCTAAGACAGAGGGAAAGCACAAGCCGTCTGCTACCATTGCAGCCTGTGCTGTCACCATGTGCTCCTGTTTGATTATCTACAGATCTGTGCTGTCACTAAGCCCTTGCTAATGCCCACCACTTCCATGTGACAGCCTGCCTCCCGCAAGATCCCTTACCTGCACTGTGAGCTGCATGCCTCCTCCGGGTCTCTCCACAGGATGGCTACATGACTCCAGGCCAGTTGCCACTGGCCCATAAGCCCCAGGACAGAGACAGGGCTGCTGTGCTCCCACAGGAACCAACCAGAGATGCCCAAGATGAGCAGGAAGGGAAGAAGGATGCAGCAGGTGGAGGAGAAAAAGAAATGCTAACAAGAAAGAGAATAGCACTTAGTGGGATCCCTGCCTCAGGCAGAAACTAACACAAAAAGGGACACCTCTCCAGGAGCCCCTTGGATAGGACAAAGCCTGGTTGAACCAGGTCTGTTCTCTTCCAAGTAGCAGAGTCCAGAATCTGGTGCTGCAGGAAAAGGTTGCTGCGCACCATGCTCTCATGGCAGGGACCATTCCAGCCAGCAATGATTGAGCCAATGATGCCCTCTCACACGCCCTGAGCCTGCTCCCAGCCAGTGTGAGAAGGCAACTCTGGGCTCTTACTTCCCTGCCTGTGACATTAGGGTACAGGTCTGAGGGGAGCTGCCATGACTGTTAGGCAATGGGACAACTGTTTAAAGGGAGACTCTGCTTGGCACGCAATGGGGAGAGGCACTGGGACAAGGAAGGGAGCCTGGTACTACAACTAGACATGGAAAGGGAGCTCCGCACCTGGACTGCTCTGGCACTCCAGTGCAGAAGTGTGGCTCTTCCTTTACCTTGTTCTGCTTCCTTGGACTCTTAGGGCTGGGAGCTGGTGGCTTGAGTGCTGCAGTTTTTCTCCACATTGCCAAGCTCGATGTTCCAGAGGCAATGCTCTGCATCCTTGGAGTATCTGTCTCTGTCAGACCTGGTGTCCCAGGTGCCACGCTCCGCAGCTTGAAAGTTTCACTCTGCCATCCAGGAGTGCTGATCTTCGTCCTGTCCTGCAATGTGGGGGCCTTACCCTGTAGTCTAGGTTGACTGCTGGTTGCCCCACCTTGCAGCCAGAGGGCAGTGCCCTGCAGCCTGGGGGTGTTGCTGGCTGCTTTGCCCTGCAGCCTGGGTGCTGTGAGCTCCATGACAGCAGTTGTCTCTGAGCCAGGCAGCGCAGTCTCCAGCACCTGTAGTTGGTCTCTCTCATCTCTGAACTCTTGCCAGTCCAGGTTTGGATTCTACAGTGGGAGACAGCCAAGCCAAAAGGCAATCCTTAACAGAGAGGCAGCTCCCACCCCCAAGCATTATCCCTCAGCTGCAAGCATAAGAATGAGCTAAAATGGCACTGAGCAGCAGAGGGGTTTTAGTTGGAGGGAGGAGGCTGCAGGGCCTGAGTCCTGGGATCAGCCACTATCTATACTAATAGTGATAGAAATGTAGCCGTGTTAGTCTGGTGTAGCTGAAACAAAAAACAGGACTATGTAGCACTTTAAAGACTAATCTTGCTACATAGTCTTGTTTTTTGTTTTATCTATACTAATGAGAGGGTTTGTTACCCAGCCACAGTGAGGCTGCTCCACTCTGCACCTACAGTGGGCTGGCTGGCATCGGCAGGAGCTTCTAATATGTGTATAACCCGTCTCATGGGAGGGCCAGACTGGATTCAGAGGACAGGGAATGGGATACAAGCCAGGACTCGCACTGCTAAAGTGCCCTGACTCTGATCCAGCCCCAAAGCGGAAGGACTGGCTGGCTAAGTCAGATGGGCCACAGGATAAGGGCCTTTCACTGCTGGGTGGCATCAGCTCCAATCCAGCCTCAGCACTGGGGGGAAACTAGTTGGCTCAGGAAGCTGGGGAATGGGACACAGTGTCTTTTCTCTCTAGGTGATGCTGGCTCTGATCCAGCCCCACATCAGTAGTGACTGAAAGCCATTCTAAGTTGGTAGCTATTTGTTGACCCCAGTGCATCAGGCAGATGTCCCAGTACAACTATTGCTGACTGCGGGCAGCCTCAGCACAGCACATCCCTCTCACCATTGGGGGGATCCACGAGGGCTGAAGCAGAGGGGCTAGAGAAGGAAGAGAACACACTACCGCTTTCTCTCCTGAGCTCTCATTTAAGGTGGGGAAAAGCTCCTCCTCTTCTTCATCCTCCTCTGAGATCTGCAGCCTCTTCAGCCTCACACAGGGTGACTGGAAGGAAAACAGAAATAGCCAGATATCAGCTCTGCAGTTCTCACAGCCCATGAGAGTCTCTGCATGGGGCTAATGGAGCCAGCGGACCATCAGGGTAGGTCTGATCAAACCTCTGATCCCGGTGAAACACTTGGAGGGCTAAGCCAACCAGTAACACCTTGGGAGAAGGAGGGAAGGGATGACCCCAGACCCAGACATACAAACCAGAGTGACTCACCAAGGGGGCATCTTGGTCTAGAGCTGCCCACCCACTGCTTCTGGAAGGCTCCACCCTTGCTGCTTGCTTCTTGGAGAGGCCTCTCTTCATTGCAGTCCTGGTGGGTTCATCCTTTAGCGGGAGTAGTGGAGGCTCCCTGGCTAATACTGGCAAGGGCTCCATGGCTGGTCCAGCTGAGGGCTTCATGGCTGGCACGAGGGTAGGGTTGCTGGCCGGAGTGGGTGATGGATCCCGGGTTAGCGTGAAATGTAGTTTATGAGCCTTGATACTTGCCCGGGGCTGCAGGATAAGGGGAATGCCCCCTCCCTCAGAACTGGTCTCTTCTCTCAGGACCTGTAGAGGAGTATGGGGCCCTGGTTAATATTCCACTCTCAGGTAGAGCAGGAGCTGGACACTGACACTGGGAGGACTGCTGAGCTACCTACATCCGCAGGCTCAATTTCATCATTAGAGGTTACAAATTAACAAAGGATTGTAATTTACAGTCCTGTCAATCTTCATGCCATTTGGCACTTTGCCTAAAGCCTCAGCTCCTGGAATCCTGTGATTCTGTAAGAATTGCAGCTTGCTCTTTAAAAAAGAGTGTTTCTAACCTTGATTTTGATCTGAGGAAGTGGGTCTGGCCCACGAAAGCTCATCATCTAATAAACCATCTTGTTAGTCTTTAAAGTGCTACATTGTCCTGCATTTTGCTTCAACTACCCCAGACTAACACGGCTACATTTCTATCACTATTCTAACCTTCATGATTGCAAAGGAAAGCTTGAAAGCATGGCCTAGATGTGCCCCTAACAGTCCCTAGAAGTGAGCCTGGTATGACCCTAAAGGCTCAAATGAAAAAGAATATACATTTTTTCTTGTTTTTAAATGTCATTATTTCTTGGGGCCAGTCACAAGTGAACTGATCCTTTACTGAGGAGGAGGGGCTGAGTCTCACCAGTGCTAAATTTAGCCTACTTCCCCAGGTGATGGGAATGACACCAGGGGACTTTGATGACAGCATGTACCTAGAAACCAGGTTGAGGAACATAAGGGCAGTCACTGAGCAGGGGTGCCATCTCAGATTTTGGTGGGGTGAGGGCAACCTGTGCTTGCCATGATGGGGGGAAGGGTGAGAGCATGAGAGTAGACTAAGGGTACGTCTAGACTACATGCCTCTGTCACCAGAGGCATGTAGATTAGGATACCAGACATAGTAAAATGAAGCAGCGATTTAAATAATCGCCGCTTCATTTAAATTTACATGGCTGCCGCGCTGAGCCGACAAACAGCTGATCAGCTGTTTGAGGCGGCGAGGAGTCCTGTGGCACCTTATAGACTAACTGAAGTGCTGGAGCATAAGCTTTCGTGAGCAAAGACCCACTTCGTCAGATGCATGTGACTCTCGTTTGAAGGAACTTAAGACCTAATCGCGGCTTCATTTCACGCGTCCAGACTATCACGCTGAGCCGACAAACAGCTGATCAGCTATTTGTCGGCTCAGCGTGGCAGCCATGTAAATTTAAATGAAGCGGCGATTATTTAAATCGCTGCTTCATTTTACTATGTCTGGTAGCCTAATCTACATGCCTCTGGCGACAGAGGCATGTAGTCTAGACATACCCTAAGTGACACCGGTTAGCCTTAATATTTTAATATATATTCTTACTTTGTTACTAACTGCAGAGAGTAACAGGACTCCTGGACTCTATCTCAGCTCTGGAAGGGTGGTGGGGTCTAGTGGGTTACATCAGGGGACAGCTATATTTGGGCTTTATATAAGAACACCAGAATAGCCATACCGGGTCAGACCAATGGTCCATCTAGCCCACTATCCTGTCCAACAGCGGCCGATGCCAAGTGCATCAGAAGACATGAACAGAAGAGGCAAATCTTCAAATGATACATCCCATGTCGCCTATTCTCAGCTTCTGGCAAACAGAAGCTAGGGGCACCATTCCTTTCCATTCTGGCTAGTATCCTCCTTGAACTTATTTTGTTCTTGTTGGAACCCTGTTGTAGTTTGAGCCTTTCCATCACCTCCTGGCAAAGAGTTCCACAGGCTGACAGTGAAGAAATTATTTGTTTTGTTTGTTTTAAATCTGCTGCCAATATATTTAATTGGGTGAGCTTCTTGTGTTGTTAGTGAAGGAGTAAATAACATTTCCTTATTCTATTTTTCCACACCATTCATGATTTTCTAGACCTCCAACAGATCTCCCCATCCTTTAGTCATTTCTTTTCCAAGATGAAAAGTCCCTTTCTCGTTAAGATCTCCTCACATGGAAGCTGTTCCTTACCCCTAATAATTTCTGTTGTCCTTTCTGTATCTTTTCCAAATCCAATATAACTTTTTAAAGATTGGGTGACCTCCTCCATGCAGTATTCAAGATATGGACATACCATAACTAGGGATGTGAAAAAGCATTTTTTTGTAAACGTTTGGCCACTGAAATTTTCAGCAATTACACATTTGCATGTGGAGGGAAGGAGGCAGCTACACAGAAGCTGGTGCGCACGGGGAGCCAACTTTTAAGCTGGCTCCCTGAGAGCACTGGCTTCCATGGAGCCACCTGTCCCTTCCTTCCAGCACTGCTGCCTCAAGCATGGAGTCAGTGGGCGGGGTTAAGGGCAGGCAGGAGCCAGTTTTCGAGATGGAGCCACCTGCCCCACCCCACACACTGCTGTTTCAAATACATAGGCAGGAGCCAGTCTCATGGGGAACTGGCTTTTAAGCTTGCCTCCCCACCCCATGCTCCTGTTTCTGTATCAGTAGCAGCAGAATGAGGGGACAGGCAGCCAGATCCCTACATGTATCGGCTCCCATTCACCTCTCCCCATGCTATTCTCTCTGATGCAAAGGCAGCAGCTCAAGGGGGCAAGCAGCCTCCGAGGAGCCGGTGCTCACAGGGAGACTGCTTAAAAGCCAGCTCCCCATAAGCACCAGCTCCCACCTGCTCCCCCACCCTGCACTGCTGCCTCTGATACAGTGCTTTGCAGAAAAGCGTCTGTGCCAATCTAGACGCTCTTTTCCGCAAATGCTTTTAACGGAAAAACTTTTCTGTTAAAAGCATTTGCGGAAAATCATGCCAGTCTACATGTAGCCCAGCTGTCAGATTGTTTGATGTGAGATTGAAGATAAAATGAGAAAGTGGCAGGGCCTGAAGCCAGACTGTAACCCTACTACCTGGTCTGCATCCTGAATGGTTAATATTTTGGGTGTTGTCCAATACTGGATTTACAACAGTGAGATCTTGTGCCTCAGGGTAACAAATCATGAAAGAGGGTACTTAAACCTCTCTCCTAATGGTGTTGGGTGTGAGACTCCCTTCAAAGTACCTCAAGTCCCAGGTGAGAAATTGTCCTTTCAAGTTATTCTTGGCAGAGGGGTGTTTTCTTAGTAAGATGAACTTTGATCACTTTTTGCTGTTGATTTTTTTTTCCTCTTAAAACTTCACCCCTAGTTCACCTGCAGGCACAAGAAGAGCAGGCTCTACAGGCACAAGAAGAGCAGATGGTTTTGTGACAACAAGTGGCAAGGAAGTGAAACCTGACTGAGCAGGGAGGGGGTTTTATTGAGGCTGTTGAAAACCCACAGTGGATTGCTGATGCTTCTTTCACTCCAACATTATGGGTTAGAGGGAACTCTAACGGGGCATAAGGAAGCAGTGCAATAGTGGATAGATCACTAGATTACAGTCAAGTCTTGGGTCTGCCAAAGACTTGTTTGTGGGTAAATCTGTTTCCCCTCCCAGCCTTTTCTAGTTACAGCACGAAGTTCTCCATGGTAGGGAGTAGTTCTTACTGTGTGTTGATAAAGCACCTGTTTCTGCAGAGCCCTAATCTTGACTGGAGTCCAGACAATAGTATGTCATAGATATAAGGGCTGGAAGGTACTGGCTTCCTGCATAGCACAAGCCAGCAAACCTTATACAGTAGTTCCTGCCTCAAGTCCAGAACTAGAGCTAGCAGGAAATTTTGGCCCAAAAATGTTAAAACTCCAACTGATCCTGAAAAGCTATTATGTTTAATGAATTTCCTGCTTTGTCAAGGAAGATAGATAGGTTTGGAAGTTGCTGAAGTATCCCACTTTCAAAACTAAGTTCATGTACACTAAAAAAAGTTGGAAGAAGAAAGTCACAGTTCTCAGAAGGAAACTATAACGCAAAGCAAAAAACAGTTAACGACTATGGCCTGATCCACAACCTGTTGAAAGTTGAAAATTCTCAAAATAATTTCTCAGTCAACTGTACCCCATAACTTCTAGTTGTGCAAAAGCAGAACTCCTAGAAAGATGACCCAAGCAAAATGTAAAGGCTATAGATGATGAGCAGTTCATGATGATGCTGGGCAAATTGTTCAGATGGGCAGAGTGGAGAGAAAAGGGGGGGACCCTCACAGGTTTTTTATATCAGAAATGATAAGACACAAAAACCTGTAGGAGAACATTTTAACCTACTTGGGCACTCATTAATGGATTTACCAATAGCCATTCTTCTACAAAGGAATTTCAAAAATCAACTACAGAGAAAGACTGCAGAATTGGCCTTCCTATGCAAATTTGGCACACTCACTCATGGCTTTGAACAAAGACATGAACTGGATGATAGGATTGTTAAATATCGGTGAATTGAATAGTCAAGTAACCTCACAAATTATCGGTTAGTCTACTACAGTATTCTATAGTCCCTGGGAGAGGGGTCAGCAGCATGTGCACCTCACTCCTAAGGAGCCCCCTGCCATTCCATGCTGCTGCCTCTGTATCAGAGGGGGGAGGGGGAGAGGGGAGAGGATCTGAGCTCCTGGACCCAGTTTGAGCCATAACTGAGCCCGGCTGCCTGCATGGCTCCTAATACACTTTAAAAACACAGCAGGGGGAGGGCCCGAACCCAGGACTCAGCTGGGCTGCCTGCTTGGTTCATAATACATTTTAAATGCAGAGCCATAGCAGGGGTAGGTCCTGGACGCATCGCAAGCCGAGACTGAGCAGGGCTGCTAGCCAGCCTGCTAAAAAATTTACTGGCAGTGGTAGAGGGGGAAAATGTGTGTAGTAGTCTATAGCATTAACCTATAAGCTTTTGCTTATCAGTTAACTGACTACACTATTACATCCCTACTGGATGAGCCACTATAAAACCTGCTTTCCTTACATTCAACACCCAATTGACATCAAAAGCTAATTATGAGACACTTCCAACCCACTTAATTAGCCTCATTAGTATGGGCACTACAATTGACAGGTATGCCCCCTTTTTCTGTAATAAATTGTGAGGGGTCTCCCTTTTCTCTCCAGTCTGCTCAACTGAGGAAGTGGGTTTTGCTCACAAAAGCTCATTATAGCATAAATAGATTTGTTAGCCTCTAAGGTGCTACAGGACTACTCCTTATTTTTTAAAGTTACAGACTAACACTGGCTACCCCTCTAAAACTGTTGAAAGCGAGTCTCTTTCAGTTTGAGTCACTTTTTTAGTCTGAGGGTCTTCAGCTCCCACCCACTGCCTTTGACAGCTGAACTAAAGAGCCCTCTGCTGTTAGAACTCCCCTCTCTACGGTTACAGATTGTCATCAAGTCACCTCCGCTTTTTCTTGGATTAATAAATAACTGCCTGCAGCAAGAGCCTGGTCTGCACCTAAAACTTAGCTTGATCTAGCGGCCGCCCCCGGGCCTGTGAAACCTCACAGCCCGAGAGACACAGATACGCGGACCAAAGCCTTGGACCAGACACCGCCAGGTGACAGACGGAGCCCTTCGGGGGAGCCGCAGCAGGCGGGGGTGCCCCAGCCGGGGAGCTG